GCTAAACAATAAATATCAACTCAAATTGGAAGGCTAAAGTAAATTTATCAGTCAACTACAATTTGCAACAAGTTTAAGGTATCAAGGAAGAAGTTAGGTTCTGTTTTCCCTTCCATCTCTCCCACCACGTGATGATCCTACTGGCTATTAAATTTCTCCACTTACACCCTAAGGAACACTGAAATCGTATCCTAAACATAGACTCCCTAACATCTCCTTGGCTTCTCTTGGTAGGACAGTTTCTCTTTATTTTGGTGACCTCGACAGTCTGGCATTTGTTTTGGCAGAGTCTCCTGGAACTCAGTATGTTCAGCTAGAAGATAGATTTTCTAAACCACTAAGCAATCTGTACTCCCTTTTTCTCTCCCCTCTGTGTTTTTGCTATCCTCTTTCCCACTTCTCATTCTACATTTTAAATGAACTAAGGAACTTATGTGGGGGAAATTATCCAGCTAGGATTTAAATGTCATATCAAAGGTGTTTTTGAGAGAAAGGTGGAGGAGATTAAACACAGAGAAAGCTGAGTGAAAACAGGTAGAGATTGGAGTGATGATGATACAAGCCCAGGAAGCAGGACAAGGCAAGATCCATCTTTGGAGCCTGTAGGGGAGTAGAGCCCTGTCCACACCTTCATTCTAGCACACAGTGACTTTATAATTTGGAGCTTCGGCCCTTGGAAGGTGCAGTTTTGAACCAGTAATTTATAGCAATTTGTTTGATGATTTGGAAGATTCTTAGGTGTCCAGATTGCAGTGAATTTTGACTCTAGGAAATGCACTGTTAGGAAAGCTGCCCTTGAGAGGCCATGCATTTGACTGACAGAGGACCTGTGGACATGTGGTGGAAATAGTCCAAGACAGGGGACCACAGGTAATGATGAGGAAGTGGCCTGAATTAAGTGAACACAGCAGAATAAGAGGAGGTAGCATCATGATGTGGACCCAGCAATGTCAGGAGGAGGTGTGCCAGGACTAGAGGGGCATCCAGGATATAGACAGGCAATGGGAAGTTGTAACCCATTCTAGTCCTGGCAGACCCAGGCTGAGATCCTAAGAAGGAACACTTGAGGTTGCTGTGACCCTAGGCTGGCTAGTGCACACCTGAGTGACTCTGGGCCCAGAGGAAAGCCTCAGTACAAAACATACTCATACATTGCTACACAGCATTGTACTCACGAGAGGTGATTCTCAGAGTCACAGGCAGGATTCAGAGATTTATTTTCCCTTCACACCAATTTCTGAGCCCAAAATGACTGTCTCCAAAAGCCCACATTCCCTTCCAGACCCCTTACCCAGGCTCCTGATAATGAGTTCCAGAATAGGTGCAGGCAACCCATGGCCAAGGTCTCAGTGGCTGTTCTCAGCATTGTTCTTTGTTCCTTGCCCATCTCCCTGCTCCTCAACCCATCCCTGCTTGTCCAGGAAGACCCTGTTCCTTGTGACCTGTATAGTATGGCTGGGCATTGCTTTTGTCCTATGCTTATGGAAACCAGACCAGAAGTCAGGCTGAATTCCTGACATGCAAAAAACCAATCACCAGAGAGCCTCTCCCTATCCTTGGGCATATCAGACCTGGTTGCAGACTGTACTGTCCCTGGGAAGACAAGCTATCAGGGTTTCCCTCTAGGGATTCAACTACTTGCTGGGCCCAGAGCAGCCAAAGTTCTGGCTTCTGGCCATGGAAGACCTAGATTTGGTCCTGATTCAGTTGTGGTGGCTCCTAAGCAAACCATGGACAAGACTCAGTGAGCACACCCCTGGATTTTCTGAGTGGGGGTTTCATCCCAAAGCTTCTGGTTGGCTTATTGAGGGGTCTCTAAGGTGAGCTGCAGTTCCTTAGAGCTCCTCATATGCCCTGCAGGACCAGCTCAGAGCCTATGGTAGAAATTGTCAGAGGGTCCCAGGGAAGACAGGAGAATGTCTGTCATTGCAATGCATGGTGCCACACATGTAGTATAGACCATTCCCAGTGCCACAGTTCTAAGCAGTATGGATCATCAGATCCCCTCCTTAGCCAAGGCCTCAGGAAGAAGGGTATGGGCATTAACTGGAATCTCCAGTTTCCTGTCAACCTTTGAGCCTGAGAGTTGGTCCAAGTCACACCAGAAGGTCTACACCATGGTCCTCACCCAATTCCCCTAGTTCTGAGGCTCATAGCTAGTATATGGAGCTGACCCCTTTCCTCCATCCCATGAGCTTTAAACACATGCACAGAATCTTTTCTCTTGAACCCAGCTTGCTTGAGGCCTCCTGCCCTAAGGCAGGACACCACCAGCACCCCAGTGTTTGTCCCTCCAAATCCAAAACAAGTTGGCAAGAATGGGTTACACTTTGGCCTGCTTCTACTCAAGACATGGTCATCACTGTCTTGAGATGCCCATAAGACCTGGATTGAGATTAGTCACCACTAGAATATAAATTCTCCCCTGAGTTTATCCTCTTTTCTCAATCTTTTAACCCTGGGGGTGGACCAGGAAGGAAGGCAAAAGGAAACCAGATGATAGTGGGTAATGTGATGCCACTAGGTTTCAGCAAAGACAAAGACCAACATGGAGATGAAGACAGACAGCTAAAGGTGATGGTAGGTGATCTAAGACGGGCCAGACATCAGTATAGAGAGAGTGGCCCTACACAGATATCTGCACTACCCTGATCATCTCTGCCCAACTCCCAACCTGTCAGGCTCCTCCTCCTTCAAGCCTCAGCACTCAGCTGTTACACAGCCATGTCTATGGCCTGTGTACGTGTCTCTTGGTCTCTACCTAAGGGACTTGGAGAAGAGGGAAATTCCCTGAGGATCCCTTATGTCCTGTCTGTTTCTGAAAATGGGGGCAGAGGTATGGGGGAAGAGAAGGAATCAGGGCCTGCTCAAAGCCCTGGCCTAGGTGAGGGCCTGGAGGGTGAGGGCCAGGATCTGGGCTCAGTGAGATCACTGTTCTTTCCTGTCCAGAACGTCCACCATCAGCTGCACTGCCATCCCCTGACCTTTATGAGATGCAAAATGAGTCACAGAACCTATGGGAATTCTGTTACTAGAGGAATAAACACTTTTCTTTCTTTATTTTCTCTTTTCCTTTTCTTTTGTTATCTTTTTTATTTGTGTGTTTTTCTTGAGACCAGGTCTTCCTCTGTACTTTAGTCTGGTTTGAAACTCACTGTGTAGCCCAGAGTCACCTCAAAATGGCTCCTATCTCAGCCTCCTGGGATTGCAGACATGGAGCTACCACACCTGGCATGTTCTTTCCTTTTTGTGGGTTCAGTGAGTTGACATTGCCACTCGCATGCACACCCTGGGATCAGAGGGTCAGACGTGAGAATTTCCCCAATTCCAGCTGCTGACCCACAGGCAGTATCAATCGGATGAAAGGAAGAGGCACCGTGAGCATGGAAAGGTAGATCTTGAACGTGACACACTGTGAAAGTCTCAGCATGCCTTTCCTGTCCCGTGTTGATCCTTAGCTACAATCCACAATCCTGACTGGTCAGGGCAGGGAGGATATCTTGTCACGTATTTCTGAAAGAGTTGCTGTCAATAAGCTCCTTCACTAGTCCTGCATTTAGCAAAGAATGAACCTGCCCACTCAAGGAGGGGCAGACTGGAGGCTATAAATAATTTCCTCTGGTTGGCTTCTTCAGCCTTCCTCTTTCTCTTCCAACACCTGCCAGTAAAGCAACTGCTGTATAGCCATGGCCCTTGGGCTCCTATGTCTGGGAATCACCCTTCTGGGGGCCCTGAAGATCCAGGCTCAGGACTCTGATCCAGGTGTGATCCCAAGTCCACCTCTGAGCAAGATCCCCCTGCAGCCAAATTTCCAATATGACCAGGTAAGTTTCTGGAAAAGCAACTGAGGAGAGGAGGGTTAAGGGAAAGAGACAGTGGGAAGAGAGTGAGGAAGAGATAAATGGACTCAGGACAGTTTTGGGTGGGAGGACTCAGGGAATCCAGGCTCTGTGCATGTTTGGTTGGGACATCCGCAGCCCTTCCTCACCAATAAGAAAACTGAGGTCCAGAAAGACCTACTATCCACTTATACAGGGCCACCCCATCCCTAAAACTTCAGTGCAAACTCCTCCCTCCGATCACTCTTGGCCTCATAAGACCCAAACTACTGATGGCTTGTCAGGACGGCCCATTCCCAGGGCTCTACTGCCCACTGGGCTGCACAGAGTTACCAGCGGGGATAGAATGGTAATTGTGGATCTGGGTCCATCTCTGGGCTCTTATCATCTGACTCTTACAGTTCCAGGGGAAGTGGTACCCCGTAGGTTGGGCACAGAACACACCTTGGAATGAAAGCCTAAGCAGAACAGCCTTGTACAGCATCAGCTACAAGCTGATTGATGACAACAGCTACAATGTCACCTGTGCTTGGTTAAGGTAAAGCTGCCACATCCTGAGGGTCTGAGAGGCAGATTGATGGCATAACAGGGGGATAAAAAATTGAGGGAAACTGTCATTCATCTCATTGCTCTGCACTGAATCAATTTTTCTTACTTCTTCCCTCTGTCCCTCATAGGCTTTCTGCTTCCCTATTTCTCTCCTTTTGTTTCTCCCTCTTTCTCTTCTTCCCGATCTTTCTCCCTCCTCTTCATCAATATTCATGGATAGCTGCAGCAAAAACACAGTCAGGAGAAATGAAGAGAGGACTCCTCCCCAGAGGGGAGGACACTAGTTCCTGGAGAGGACCCCACCCATGCCTTCATTAGGGGTTGTAGAGACGTGACCTTAAAGGAGCCACCCTTCCTATAATACTAGCAGGCCTAGCTCCAGAGGCAGGAAATTCACAAGTTCAAATTCAGCCTGAGAAACTTTAGAAGACACTGTCCCCAAATGAAAAATAAAAACGGAGCTATGAGTGTATCTCAGTGCCATGGCCCTGTGTTCAAACCCCTGTACCATTACCATCACCACTATTAACATCATAAAAGAAGAAGGTCATGCATGTCACAGTAAGGGCTGCTGGACTCTGAGTCAGAGCCTCACCTTAGAAGGCAGCAAAGCAGCCAGCCATCAGCATGGGCACCTGAGCAGGGACTGATGTACATCCGGGAGGCCAGCACTCCCAGGCCTGAATCTGGGGCATCTCAGCTCAAGCCAGGGTCTGTCCTGGGGCTCATAAAGAGAGACAATCACAGGACAGCTGATGCAGAGAGGTGCAGAAAACTGCCAAATTATGCCAGGAAGTCACAGGCAGAAGATGATATAAGTAGGGCAGATGAGGAATCAGAAGGGGTATCATGTGCTCATCTCTCATCAGTGTATTCTAGACACTGGTTCCAACTGGAGCATTTGAGGATTGAAGGGCACAGGAAGGGAGGTTAAGGAGGTTTGCGTCTACGGTGCAGGGGTGAGTTGGACTCAGGTGAGAGGTCAGCTTTGGTTAAAGGGCTAGGTTACTGCTTGGCATGGAACAGAGTGGAAGCTCAGAGGAAATTGTCAGGAGAGATGGGAAAGAGAAGCAGTAAAATAAGTGTAGGGATCAGTGCCTGAGACCTGTGTGGGGGACAGGATGCCCTGGGGAGGTAACAGAGGAGACAGTGAGTGCTAGAGGGAGGGTTGAACAGACCCTGCAGAAGACCAGTCCAGTACCATGGAGTGGGCCAGGGGGAGGCCCTGCCAAGAGGGAGGACAGGCTGTCATGGGCTGGGCTGGGCTGGGCTTGGGGCTCAGAATCCTACTGCAGCTCTGCAACCCAGGGAGACCAAACTTGTGTCCTCTCCCTGTTCAACCCCACCATCTCTCACTCTCACAGCACCCGGGGATGTGTTCACATATCCGCAACTATAGTCCCAAGTGACCAGCCCAGCCAGTTCATCTTGGAAAATATAACAAGTGAGTCCCGGGTGAGGGAGGCCTGGGGTTGGGATTTGGGGAGCAGAGCCCTTCCAGAAAGGAACAGGCTTCCCTGCCCTTCCTCACAAATGCTGTCCTGTGGGGAGAAGCTGATGCTGACTGGTTGGGGAGGAAAGGGAGAGCTCCTTCCACCTGGTCAGGAAAGGATGACCTTTGGCATCCACACTGCAGGTTATGATGGATTACAGAACCTCACCATAACAGTGGTAGAAACTGACTACAATCAGTTCGCCATTGTGATTTTCAACTTGACTATCAAAACCAGGGTGCACTTTGAGATTATCCTCTATGGTGAGTTATCGCTGCATCCCCTCAGGGATCTGGTTCATGGTCACACCTATAGAAGATCCCCCCAAACCTTAAGAACCCAAAGTTTTCTCCAGTTCCAGCTCCTCTCTCAGGGAGGGGGTCTTCCCATGGACCCTGAGTGGGAAAGAGGTGTCTGACTTCATTCACTCATGCCACAGTGTTTATGTAGTGAGCCGAGGGTGGTGGCCCACAGCAGTCATTACAGTACTGGGTCAGCTCTGGCAGGAAGATTGCAAGTTTAAAGCCAGCCTGAACTACTTAGCAAGACATGGTCTTAAAAGCTTAAATTACAAAATTGTCTCTGTTGGCCCACTCACTGCCACTTGGACACAGGGAGGACCAAGGAGTTGATTCCTAAAGTGGAAGAGCAGTTCCGTAAATTTGCCAAGTCTCTGGACATCCCTGATGAGTACATCATCTTCACTGATCCCTTGGGTAAGGGCCATCTGGAGTGGTGGTAAGGAACATTGGGTCTAATGCTACTCCATCAGGGAAAAAAGACAGCAAAGACTCAGTCTCCTGGTCTAGTCACTGGAATGATGATGGCTTCTACCTTTTGGTCTGTGTCCTCAGGTCCTCTGGTACCAAGTGCTCCCTGAGACAGTTTAGCCAAGCCTGCCCAGATGACAATTTTAGGTTCAGGGCGAAGTTTATCCAGTCTCATTTTCCTGGGCAACCTCCTCCCCAAACCTTGGATCTTGCTAATCTGAGACACTTTGTTTCCCATATCTTGGGTCTGGCTGTCATGGATCATCTTCACCTTCCTCTTGCTCATTGCTTATGTAGGAGATCTCCTTGCTTTCAAGTGGCTTGGCCTGGAAAGGGCCATCATATATACCACACAGGGCTTCTGGCTGAGGAACTACTATAACCAACAGTTAAAAAGGCTGGAAGCCTTTATGCCTGAGCAGCCATGAGGCCTAGTTCTTTGATTTTTCCCATCCCCAGGCCCCAAGTTCAGAGAACACTCAGATCCTCCTCAGTGGGCCAGATTGGGACTAAAGTAGCCACAGGAAGTTCAGGGGTCTTTGCACCAAGATATCATCCTCTCTCTCTCTCTCTCTCTTTCTCCGGCCTGTTCTGGTATTATTTCTCCTCCACAGTGAAGTGCATTGATTACTGACTGGCAGGGAGGCAGTGAGGCAGTGAGTATGACTGGGCAGGGGACTGATGGGAGGCTAGGGTGGGGTGGGCTGGGGGGTCTCAGGCCTGCCTTTGTTCTGCCACTTCCCCCAACCCCAAACCACCGCCATCTTTACTCTGTTGTCCCTTCTCAGATGCCTGCTGTCTACACACTATGTTCTTCCTGTTGCTTCATCTTGAGACTTCATTAGCAGCTACAAGGCCAGTAAAAGAGCCAGAAGACCCTTCTTTTGTTTTGGACCAGGGATTGAACTCAGGTCCTTGTGCTTGCAAGGCAAGTGGTGGAACCACTGAGCTAAATCCCTGGCCCAAGAAGACCCTTCTTAAAGTACAATGCTCCCAGCCATGTCTTGAAATGCTACTTCACTGGTGGACCCTTTTTTGTTCAAATATACACTTGCTGCAAAGACTCCATGTGTGTGCTGCCTGTACACTGGCTCATGACTTTGGGGAAGGACAAAGCGTGGGCTCAAACACCATCAATCACTCCTGGGGCCTTTTGTCCCCAGAACCAGCCTGATGCTAGGGTGGAACAAGAAGGCACAAGGCAAGAATGCCAGGTTCCTCTGGCCTCTTTGTTGCCACCAGCTGCCCCAAGTGTGTCCTGGACAGAATGTTGTTGTACTCACTCTTGCTTTGATTGGACACTTTTAGTCCCATCCCTGAGCCCACCTCAAGATAGTCTAAAATGAGTGACCTATTCAAGAGAAGCACTTATCAGGCTTCATTCATACCACATGCTCCCATTGGACAACCTGCAACAGACCACACAGCAGCATCCCTATCAATACTGGGGAGCATGGGGGTCCCGGTATAAGGGGCAGTCACCCCAAGACTTACCAGGATCTTGTGGATGTGGGGTGATGGTGACCCAGACAGAGTGGGCTGGGGCAGAGGCAAAGGTCTATTCTAGGGAGTGAATGAGCAGAGGTGGGGCCCTGCCCTGTGGACCCAACACCCACCATTTGACTCCAACACCGGGGGACTGTGCACTTTCTAATTTTATTCAGAGTTTTGCCCCACCAGGATGATGTTCAGACCACCTCGAGGGGGGAGTTCAGAAATCAGGGCTGGGCCAGGGGCAGTGGGGAATATGCTGCTGGGAATCCAGGCTGCTGGGAGAAGAGTCCCAAGGCTGGGGTTGTGTCTGGCCTGAATGGGCCCAGTCTCCACATTGGCAGCACCAGCTGCCCTTCCAGGTGGGAACAACACATCGGGATCCCTATTGCCTCTTCTCTCCTTGTCAGAGCAGCAGCCAGAGTAAGCGATATTCTGAAAGACCCTGATTTCCCGCCTCACAGACCCATACACTGGCACTTCCATGCGGGCTGGGAGATTCCCAAGCAATGACCACCTCCACCTTGGCCTCCTGGCCAGCAGGAGAGGCCCAAGACCTAAGTCCACCAGTGGCTGTAAGAAGTCTGCTTCAAATAAAATAAATCGATTGTACTTTAAAGGACATTCTTAACACTAATCACATTCAAATAACAAAAATTTTCTATGAAGTAGATTTTACATGTCAGAAATTTAACATGAACTGTATAAGAAAAAGTCCTAAGAATTTTGCTCAGAAACACGTAAAAACTGAACTTGTATTCTCAGGCACCTTTATTAATAGGGAGAACCATAATGGCAGCTTTGTGAGGTGAGGAATTGGAAGTTCACAAGGAGAGGACTGGAACCCAGCGCGAGATGGAGCTGGGAGCAGGGGCTGGGCAGGGGCCCAGGGTGGAAGCTCTGCCACTCCACATCATGTCACCTGCCATTATGAGCTAGGGCACTCACCCCTGTTTACAAGTGGGGGTTAAGGTGTCCCAGAGGAGTACACAGCTCAGGTCGTCAAGCATCAGCTGATGACCCAAAAGTGAAGAACAGCCATGTCCCAGAAAAATATATTTGAGGAGGTGAATAGGAGGAAGCTCTGCTTTCTTTTTCTTTTCTTTTTTTTTGCTTAAATTCTTTTCTTTGTACATTTTAGGCATACACTATGTTTACATTTATCATTGGGTGTTTGTACCTGTACATGAAGTATCTTGGTTCTTATTTTTTCCCCATTTCCTGTGCGCCCTTCACCCCTCCACCCTTCCCTAGTTTCATAGATTTCTTTTCCATTTTCTTTCGTTTCTCATAATTTTTCCTTTTCATTCTTTGAAAGAGAAAAAATTGGCACTATATTCTACACCTATGCAACATAGGAAATATCATTTATCTTCCAACTGACAGAAATATTTTTCTAAACAATATTGAAGCCTCTTGATAACTATGCCTTTCTTCATAATGTCTCTGAAATGAGTCAACAAATTCATTCAGAATGTAGGTTCTAAGAAGAAGAAACATTTTAGTTTTATGGCTTCACAGTAAAAAAACATTAAATTTATTTAAGTGCTTCTACAATTTATGATTTTCATCGTTTTCATAAATATTCTCTGAAGCCACTCTGAACTCAAGAAGTTACAATTCTGTCAGTGAAAAGACCTAAAAGATTCAAACTTTCATTGCTTTTCTAAATCTTAACTAGCCTTGTTTCTATGTTCATGAAAGCAGCAAAATATTCATTTTTATCATACTGCATTCAATTGTCTTTAAATTTAGGATAGTCCATATTTTAAAAGAGATTTTAAAATAAAAGAATAAAACCAAACCTTACAAAACAACAAAGTAGAGTGTAAAAGTTGTTGGAGGTTAAGAAATTATAAATTAGTCATGATAGTCTGCTCAGGTAAATACATGTTTTTATTATGAAACAGAAAATTCAGGGTTGTTATAAATGACACTGTTATGGTTTCGATAAGGCTCACTAGGAATGGGTGTCCCAGCTTGCTGTATAGCAGTACTCATGTGGTTTGTTGTACACAACATGCCCCCTATCAGCTGCCACATGTACTCATGGCCAGAGGGAGGGGACAATGGCAGAGCAGATCTTTGGAAATGATGATTAAGACTTCTTTCTGTGTGCATCTGTGTTTCCCTAAGCTCAGAGAAGACCTAATTCCATGATTCAGTGTGCACACTGATATTTACAAGCAAGGGCATTGAACAGACCCAAAGCAAAAGACAAATGAAGCATCCAAACATGTTTATATTCCAAAGTTAAGTCAGTCCATGGGCCGGGAATTTAGTGCAGTGGTGCTGCGCCTGCCTGGCAAGTGTAAGGTCCTGAGTTCAATTCCTGATACAAAAAAAATGTTAAGTCAGTACAGCATAAAAGCAAAAGAAAATTATAATTGCACCTGGTATCAGTATATCCAAAAGAGGGAGACAATGATATACTACACTTTAGAAGTATCAAATCATCTATCTCAAAGGCAAGTGAAAAGAATAGTAGCCCTGTTTTTATATATATTTTAAAAGCTTGATATTTTCTTATTTTCTGGAGCAAAGAGAGGCAACCCAAATCCTCGTGCATGGAACTGTGAACTAACAGGCATCTGTACATACAATTTTAGAATAATACTTTTCCCAGATTATTTACAGATCTAGGCAATGTAATGGATATTAAACTGACACTTGGAGTCAGATTTAAGGGAGGTCACAAGAATCCTCCCACCACCTGAATTTTTCTATTTAATATAGGAATATCCAAGATAACACAAGAAGACCTTATTAAGCTGTATTAAAGCAAAGCTCCTTCAGTCTTAAGGAAAGAGAATCCTTCACTGTTAACTATCTTTCATTCACATAGTGTCCAATTATAATATTTTTGTAGAGAAAAGTTTTCATCTTTCATATCTGGTCCCAATTTCCTCATCTGAATCCACTATAGCAGGATAAGCTTCATGTGTGAGTAAAGAGTGGATATTTTCTTTGACCCGCTTTAAATCTTCACCAATATTACTAAAAGTAGGTTTAATTGCTGCATTGGAAACTGTTTTTGAGGTCGTACATTTTATTCTTTTAATTAAATTTTCAGATGTGACTATGAATTCAATTTCATCACCAGAATCATCTACTAATGGCCTGAAGGCAGATCTTTCATTATTTGCAGATGATCTCCACAAGACCATTATTACAGTGAAGATAAGTGAAAAAGTAAGCACCAAAGTGCAGCATGAACCCAAAATCCATCCACTCTGATTGGCATTTTGCAATTGCAAATGTCTTAGTTGTCCACATCATAAACAGTAGAGGCCAGCATTCAGACATAAGAGCACTTGTAAAATACATATATTAAAAATTTTACTGTATTCTTAACAATAGAGTCTTCATAACTTGTGCCAAATTTATTTTTTTAATTTTTTTGTATTAAATTCTTTTCTTGGTACATTGTAGGTATACAACACAATTACATTTCTCATTGGGAATTGTACCTTTACATAATGCATCTTGGTT